CTTTGTACCTTATTTTTCTTTTCTGTTGTTGTTTTGGTTTCCGACAACGACCATGGGATTGTTCCATGGTGGTTTAAAGAGTTATTACACCTCAAAATTAATTAATGTTACAAGACAATTTGTCTTAAACACGTGTTAAATCTGTGTATTTTGAATAGAAAAGATATTCAAACCCGTATCTGGTTTAACCGAACCGAAACATTCAATTATTCACAGTTCACACCAGAAATTGAACCGCACGTTGTTTATTTCGGTTTAACCAACTCCGAAACCGTATTAAACAAAACCGAATATCGTATTACATGAAGGAAGGAGAGCATATTCGGAATCAAAGGCCTCATCATCATCTTCTTCTTCACTGTGTTTTAGGGTTTTTACTTTCTAGGGTTATCTCTTTCTGCAATCATGGAGTCTCTGGGAAAGCTACAGCTCAATCACCAACCACTTCACCTTTCCTTCACTCACACATCTTCTTCATCGTTCCCGAAAACCCCAACTTCTCTCCCTTTCAAACCCTTCATCCGACCAATCTCCTCTCTCAAATCCGCTTCAATCAAACCATCTTCCTCCAAATCTCAACACTCCATCATCCCTCTCCAACAATCCACACCATTCCGTCTCTTCAAATCCACATGCATCACTCTAACAACCGCCGCGGCGCTCCTCTTGGTCAATCTCCAGCTCAAATCGCCGGCGATTGCAGCTCCCGTCACGCCTCCACCGTCAGTGGAAAGCAAAGAAGACGTTTCCATGGAAGAAGAAGAGAGAGCGATTGAAGAGCATTTGGTCACTAACCCTTCTGATGTTGACGCTCTTCGTTCGTTAATGGAGGTAAGGATCAAATCTCGAAAGCTTGTTGAAGCTATAGAGGTAATCGATCGTTTGATAAAACTGGAACCTGAAGAATCTGAATGGCCAGTTTTGAAAGCAAACGTTTTGACATACAGTGGTGATTTAGATTCGGCTAAAACCGGATTTGAAGAGATTCTTGATAAGGATCCGCTTAGCGTTGAAGCTTATCACGGCTTGGTTATGACTTATTCGGATTCAGGTCTTGATTTGAAAGATGTGGAGAAGAGGATTGAGGAAGCAATGTTGAGATGCAAAAAAGACAAGAATGATAACGATTTTCGGGATTTGAAGCTACTCGTGGCACAGATTCGTGTGATTGAAGGAAAGCATAGTGAAGCATTGAAGCTTTATCAAGAGCTTGTGAAAGAGGAACCACGAGATTTCAGGCCGTATCTCTGTCAAGGAATTATATACACATTGTTGAAGAAGAAGGAGAAAGCAGAGGAACAGTTTGATAAGTTTCGTAAACTTGTACCGGAGAATCATCCTTACAGAGAGTATTTTATGGATAATATGGTTGCAACAAAGCTTTTTTCGGAGAAGACGCAGCGCGAGATGGCTGGATCAAGGAGTTGAATGCGGATATGTGTAATGAGATGAAGAAATGATGATTAGTAGACTTGGGAAAATTGTGATTTTGATGATTTTCTGATGCAGGCTTTTTTTTCATGGTCTTAGATTTATCTTTAGTTGGTTTATATATAAAGATCATAAGTTGAACACTTGATTTGATTTAATGATGGATTTGAATCACAGACTCATGTGCACATGTTCTAGATGCTCAGTCTCTTGTGAGAATTTCACTAAAGACCGATGGATCCTATTTGATACTCTTTTGTGTTGTTTGGGCAGCATCGGTTTGGTGAACTAAAGATGGTAGAGGAAGGCTATCAACGGCTTGTCATGTTGAGTTTGATCTTTCAATCCGAGGTTTGACATCGAGTGTACTAAATTTTTGAAACTCGGCTTTATTGTCCTTTCCTCTATGTGAACTTGCATCATGCATTTTGATATAATGTACTGCTTAGTTGCTTAGTGAAATCAATTGCTTGACTAATGGTACACACACATGATCCATGATATAAAAGTTAGTCTCTCATTCTTCTGGAAAAATCATATATTCGAATTGAGTGGAGAAGAGAAGCTTGGATGATGTCGAAAAGCTAGACATAGATTCTAAATCTTTCATCATCTTCTTTCTGTCGTTGCGTTTGCGGGTTGATTTTCAAGGATACTCCAGCTCTCTTTAAAAACTTCGAGTTGGCAAGAATGTATTTTACAATTTCTTTATCTTCTCTTCTTCCTCTGTATCCTTTCCACTCAAAGATCTCGAGATGGTTTGACAGACATCCGGGAACAGAACTCGGTTGGTTCCATGAAAGTGCCAACTCCTCTTCACGTTGAATGAAAGACAGTGAAGCAACCACAAGGAATGTAATGAAACACATTTACATTTGCTTTTGTTAATCCATCAGAAACTGCATGAATGAAGGTACAAACCTGGTTGATGCAAAGAACTTTTAGCTTGGGAGAATTTTGAAGTAAAAGCATTAGTGGTTCCAACCAGTCTAACTCACCTAGAAAAAATATCTTACATTCCAAAAGCTGAGTGAAGTTAATAACGTTAAACCACACAAGCTGCAATGAACACAACACATAAAGTAAACGAATTGTGATTGTACCAATGAAAGAAAAAGAATGGAACTGAAAGAGCAATATACATACCGTTTCAAAGCTCAAAGCTAATTCAAGATACACGACTGAGGAAAGAGATCTCTTAAACTTGTTATCAGGGTAAGAAAAGAAGTTGATGCATGCCTTGTCAAAGCGAGGCTTGTTCTCAGTCGAGCAAGAATTTCCAGAATAATAATCATTGATGAAGATTTGCTTTAAAGCCGGAGAATCTATAACTAAAGTCCCTTCAGTACCTTCATTGTTTGCTCCCAAGTCCACATAACTATAGTGTAAGTATTCCAAAAACGGGGCATTTATATTGAAATTTTTCACATTGTCTTGGTAATGTCGTCCCACTGTCAAATGTTTGAGAATAGGACAGCTCGATAAAAGCCTAATGATAGACCGTACACCACAAAGTAAAGGGCAAGATATTTGAGGGATGGGAGGCAAGCCAGAGAAGGAACATCCACGAGAATCTTGTCGGAAAGAAATAGGGAGACGAGCGTATCGCATGTGTAAAGGCTATTAGGCAACCTAGTATGCTCCGCTGACCACCTGAGTATGACCCTTAGCACACGCCCTCTACTACCAACCGCTTTTGTAATCCACTTTCTCACATCAACATTAACATCAACCGGACATCGTGGACCGAGGTCTATAGCTAATCTTTCTAATACGGGTGCCTTGTGGACTTGTAATGACTCATCGATAAACCGCAAAATCCACCCTCGTCGTTGATCACTTTTGCCAAAGAAACGTTTAAGTAAACCGCCTATAACTACTTTGTTAGTACCATCATATAAGTAATTGAGCTTTCGTACCATGGTCCAAATAGACCGCCATCGTTTGGACAAAATCATGGTAGCTACTGCATCTTTTGTTGGGATAAGCAACAATATCTTCACTAGCAAATCGTCCGACAATGCACTGATCCTATCTTCACCATCGAGATTAATTATCCGATAAGTTTTGACTCTTTTCTTCAAGAATCTTCGAGAAGTTTGTTGTAATAGTGTTGAAATCCATTGGTCTAATACCATGACTCCAACATGAGCTGCACCTAAAGTATCAAGAAACAGTTTCAAC